CTGCACTATCCCCCCATAAAGCTGACCTGCACTATCCCCCCATAAAGCTGACCTGCACTATCTCCCCATAAAGCTGACCTGCACTATTCCCCCATATCGTACAGTCACTACTCCCTACCTTTGTCTGCATGGGATGGCTGCTCCTTTTTGCTATCATCTACAGCCTTGACTGAGGCATCATCCATGTCAGCTTTCTTCTCTCTGCCTTTCTCTTTAATATGCAGGTAAACGACAAGTAAAGCTGAGTTTAAGAGTATATCATGATAGCCAAAGGTTTCTGCTTTGACAAGCAACTGTAGGTCAAGTATGAAGTCCGCAATGGCTCTCTGTACCTTACTGTCCACATGTTTCAGATTTTCTCAGGTAAATACTTGCCCCTTCCTGAAATAAATTTCCTTTTGTTGATTTCATGCAAAAAGGGGTACTCAACTTACACCATCTGCAAGATTTACAACAAAAATGTGAACTGCAGTTGAGCAGTGAACTAAATGCAGAGAAACTTGGCACACCAATGCAAGGTAACTGACATTTGAAGCAGTTTGGATGAAGACAAAGATGATCCTAGATTTTTTGACAGCCATCGGAGAACAATTCCATAATTGTCTCAAGACAGCCACTGAATCGAGCCTAACTCTGACTGCCCTATATTTTGAAGACTAGTAATCCCTTGTTCTCGCGGTTGATTTCAGCTTGCCTCACAGTTGAACAGCTCTTATGTATTGTTGGAGTCAATGCAGCACTTGTGATATACATGGGGGGGTTAGAATAAATTCAAGCATCAGAGATGGTAAATCTTGCTCTGCGCAAAATGCACCTACCCGGTGTCTGGTCCTCTTCTTGGTCTTGGCTGTCCATGAGATAGTCACTGTCTGACAGTGCAAGGAGCCCGCCCTCGCTCGAACCTTCCCCGTCCGATGAGCTGACGTCAGATCCGTCACTGGCGCTCAGAGCACCCTCGCTCAGATCAGAATCGTCGCTCTCGGTCTGGCCGTCTCGCAGTGGGCGCCGTCTGCGTCGGCGCCGGTTCAGGGCCTTACGCTGCTTGTCCTGCTGTAGACAATTCAAGGATTGCAATAGATGAAATGACGTTACTTTTTTCTCCAAGCACAGTCAAAACGCCACTTATGAAATTACTTTTGAGGGCTATGTTTACCAGCATCCGTTGTCATCCTGAACTTCAGAGAAAAGATGAGCCTACAAAAGCACACACACAATTGCCATAGAAGCACTCTGACATTTATGGTTCAATACGGAGATGCGGTTTGATTGGTGCATTATTGTAAAGACACTGGAAGGACATGAGGGAGTGTTCTGTCTTTTTCATGATAAAGCACTGCCTGTACATAGCACAAGCAGAACAAATGAGACTTGAACAGGACAAGATGTACATGATGGCAGACTAAGGCCGTGTCCGAAACGAGCTTCCAGAACTACGGCTAGGTCTATTGTCTACGCGTCCCCGCACATTTCCAATGGAGGGAAGACCTAGACCTAGCTCTAGACAACAGATTCGGATGCAGACTAAGAGTTTTTACAAGCACTTTTTGTGTCATTTAAAAAAACCCCAAATTGTTCATGTCTACCGTGAAAATGTTTCAGTTGACAATAACCAAGAGCGCTATATTAAACTCAACTGACCTTCTGTGGGAGATGTTTGACGGTACCGTCACTGCAGGTGCCTGAGCTCTCTACTTCTTGGCTATGGGTAGGAGTCAGGGTACCAGCAATGCTGTGCTGCTCATTACCAGATTCATCGGTCTGACTACTGCTTTCCTCTGGAGAGGCCGGCAAAAGGGAGACAATGAGAGATCACAGACAAGCTAGTTATGTGTACAAGAATCATCTTTGTCCTGGCACACATCTAATCTTCACTTAAGGACTGAAGCTTATCTTCAGCCCAGCTTAATCGATTAAGATCCGATATAAAAAGTATCTGGTTTTTCGAACAGAGAGGTTACTAAATGACTCAAATGTTCTGTGTATTGGATAGAGTTGCATTAAATAAACTACTAGTGGGCTTAGATCTGTCAGATTAGTTAGATCCATTAAGTTGTTAATTTTGTTTTTCTCAGCAAAATGTTAAATGAATCACTTTGGGAGGACAGTTTTACTTCATTACTCAAAACAATAGACATGTATGTGTATAATGGGATTGTCTGTCCACGTGGCGCCTGAGCATAAAAGATAGAAGCTGTAGTGAATGACCATTTCAACTGGGCACCTACAGCTAGATTCAACTGAAAATTGGTTGTGCATGCTCCATGATCTAGATGAGGAAAATGCATCATCTCTTCTACACAATGTAAAGACCACACTACATAGTCACGAAGTAGATAGTCATGCGCACACCCAAGGGCGGATCCAAAACAGAATTTTTTTTGGGGGGGGCCCATTTTGGGGGGGGCGAAGGGTGCAAAAATTTGTTTATGTTCCCTTCTTTGGCCTGTCTGAGAGTGAATCTAAATTTGAGGGCTTTTTACAGTTTCGGAAGGAACAGAAATAAAGTGTCCCCAACATTGCCTTTTTTCTCACTATTTCTCAAAACCAGAAGAATCTCATGCTCTTTCTTTTTTTTGGAGGGGGAGGGCCCTGGTTATCCCCCTCTTCACAGACTCCTGTCCCCTCACCTGAGCTGTCCTCCTCATCCTCCCTGACTCGCCTCGGATGCTGAGCCTCATAGAGGGCACTCTGCAGCCGCTCGTTGACGTGCGTCAAGAGATGCGTGAACATGGCCAGCATGAAAACAATGGCGGCTGACACCCACTTACGGTCTGTGAGTGGGAGGGGAGGGGAACAGTGATCATCAGGCAAATAGTGGGTGCCACATACTTCAGTAAAGGGGCATGTGTGCTTCAAGAATCTTCCATTTTTCCTTGATAAGTATATTTCCATTTAGTTCACCTATGCTCCAACCCTGCACTATATGGAAACAAGAAATGACCAGGATATCAATCAAGACTTCACTATGGAATTACATTAATGCCATTTTCTAGTTTGAAAATTTACTCAAAACCTGACACCTTGTTTTCATTACTGCACTGCCTGGCCACTGTGACTTCACATGGGGAGCTGAGGTTGCAATTTAGGGGCATATAAAGAATAAGTTTCCCATCTCCTGGCGTTCTGGGGATTAATCATTCTCCTGTAGCATGACAATCTCAGGAGTGAGATTGTGTGTCATTTTAAGTTTACAAGTCTAGTTTAACTCATACTTCCTCCCTTTGAATTTTCCTGAATCGTCTAAATTCCTCTAAAATCAGAGTATCCATGGCACATGCTTTGCACTTCCACATCAAGCCCCATGTCAAACAACAGTACATTGGTTCTACCTTCCTCATCCCTTCAAAATCCTCTAAAACCTCCTTGTGGATTTTGAAGGATTTGGGAAGGATTGAGTTAAAAAAAAGTGCAAACAGTCTAGTTTTTGCTTACCTGCTTTCTGCAGTTTGTAAATGGTCATCATGGTCATGACAAACAGCTTGAAGACCAGATCGTCTGACATGGCGGACTCCCTTGGGGGGTCGGCCCCCCTGGGCAGGGAGTTGACCCCGGCCTTGCCGGGCCTGAGGGACCCCCGGCGCTGGGTCAGCGTGTGGTACATGCAAAGGCTGAAGTCGTGCACCACAATCTGGCAGAGGCTAGCCAACTGGTCCTGGGCCGGCCAGGCGCCCGGCTGCAGCAACTCCTGCAGGTAGAGGAACTTGATGAGGAAGTGTTTCAGGTCTCGCGGCCTGCCCGGGGGGAACAAGAAGATCATTCAGTGGCTTAACCACAGTGGAATTTCCGAGGGAGCACTGAAAGCCAATTAACTTATATGAAGACTTCCCATGTTACGTGCTCCCCATGTTAGGCAACTACAACCAGCCTTATTCACTCATGCTGTCACCACAGCCAGCCTATTGGAGAGCACATCAGCTCATTCCAATTAAATGAGTTTTGAAATAAGAAGTATGCGCTGCCATTTTCACTAAATGTTTCATACATGCTTTAACAGGGATCAACAAGATGAAAGCCGTAATACGAGAAAACTTAAAGATTCTTTAGCAGAACTTTGACAAAATCCAGACAATTCTAGATGTTCAACCTATTGACATTTTGATGGCAGTCATGAGATTGAAGAAAAGATAATTATCACAGGGCTTATGTATTGAAATGCACTGCTAATTGATTTTCAAATTTTATTTGTAAAGAAATAAGAAAAGAAAAAAAATAAGTAAAGAATTAATAAAGAAATTGGTCAAGTTTCCCAAAAGAAGTCAATAAATAAGACTTATGATTCAGAAATACATCACTGAAAATAAAAGCTTTAAAGTCTGTGCACTGAATGAATAAAGGAAAATGCAATAAATGTTCAGGTAATTTCGGGCTCGCTAATTTCAAAACAGAACTTCATAGGTTCTTAGATCCTTGTTATTCTTTGGTATATCAGGACCAACTGAAATAGCACAAGGTGCTTGCTGCAGATTACGTGGAAACACAATCAAGTGACTTTTTGTGGGAGTCTAATTTACCATTAGTCCCTTGTCCAAATGACCCCGTAGACAAAAATCAAGCCAAAGGTTCACAGTGTATAGTGGCAAAGGAACAGTATGACAAATACCGTGCCATTTATCATTGTATCACATTGTGTATTCACTGCAGGGAAGTGCTGGGTTTATGGAAGGCATTGAGGAACTCTGACCTTTGCAAGTCAGGTGGAAGGTCACGGTTAGCCTGGCGGGGCAGCTCCTGATAGCGCTTGGAGTTCTGCTCAAGGGTCTTCTCTAGGTTGGCGATGGCTCCATCAAAAGGGATCTCGGACAGCCAGCTGGAAAGTGAAGAGGAAAGCGATGAAATGGTAGGAGAGCATGACCATGACATCAGAGATACATCGTGGCAAGATTCCCTGCCTCTTTCACACACGATTTTGAACAAGTTGAAGGTATATTTGTTTCACTGAAAGAAAAAGCCAGACGCTTGGAAGTAATCATAGCGGAAGTATCACATACGGGGAATATTTAGAACAAAACCTGCTCAGATGCTCCAAGATTTTTTGAGGATTAAGGAGACTGTTACTTTTATAAAATGGACATGATACCCTTTGAAAGTTGAAGTAGAGGTACAAAGAGTACATTATTTTGGGGGATACAGGAAGGTTCAAAGCAATAAGGCCTGAGAAATTAAGGCTACTTGCCATGACCAAAAGCTAAAATTTTATTCATGAACGCTAAGAGGTCTGACAGAATGCGACACTAGTGGTCCCTCTTGGTCCATCTTCAGTAAAAGCAAGTATCGCTGTCAATGTTTGGAACTCCGAGGCACGCAATTAGTCTGAAACGTATTTGCCCTGATATATCCTCTAAAACACTTTGGCTTTCACGTCGGAGATCAAAGGCTCTCCAGTGGTAACATAGGAAGTAAGCCTGTTTGTCCAATTCCAGACTAGTTCTTACCCTGTTTGAGGTTTGGAATGCATAAAGGCCAGAAATCTTTTCATCATTCTTTTGTCGCTTATTTCCACCCTTCCAAACACAAACCAAATTGCAAATGCAAACACATGAACACTGTATGAATCAGCCAAGTGGTCGTAAAACTTCAAAATGCCTTGAGATCAAAACACAAACTCGGTGAAGATCATGAACCTACCACCTCAGGTAATGGTAAGCACAGTCCAGTCCCTGGTGCCGATTTCCAGCCAGTGTCCCTAGCTGGTTGTGAGGCATTCCCATGGCTGGATTTAACAGCAGTGCCTGATGGTAGAAGCGCTCGGCTTGAAGCCGACTCCGATACCCGTCAAAATCCTGTCTGTAACGTGCTGAACAAAAAAGGGTAGTTTCAGCTTGAAGCTCATTGGACCAAGTCATTAGACAAAACAATTCTTCAGTGAAAACGATGAACAAGTTGTAATGATGCAAGGTTTTAGCCAGAGTAATGGGTGTTTCTTGGATCTTACATTGACAGCAGTTGACACCCATTTTGATGTGCAAATTCTTAACCGAATAAAACTTTCAACAACTTTCAGAGCACTGTATATTGGAATATGCAGGTTTTTAGAGATATAAATCCATGATATTGTAACTTTGATACAATTTTCACTTAAAGGCAACTTAAAGGCAACGACCACTTTTCAAATGCTGACTACAAACCCGCTATCATGTAATTTCCACTTACACTGTCACATTTGATGATGTAATGAATGAAGTTTGCTCACCAAGATCTCCAAGATAAATGAGGCATCGATGACAGGCCTTCTCAGCCCAGTCTCTGGCTTTGGCTCGCTTGCTGCCCGGTGGCGGTAATGGCCCTGAACATAACAGGTGTTACCTTTCATTCATGGGCTTCTTGAGCCTAAATTCTAATACCATCCTTAGACAGATTCTCACACACTCGGGCTGACACAATGCACATGCATGAACGCTCAGATCATCATGGTCGTTACGGCTTCTCCACTTCTGCTTTGCACTTATTCATTTCTACTATCAGTGTTCCGTTTGGTGCGTCCGTGTAAATTTCCAAGAGACGGATTCAACGGGTGCATCTGGGGTTCACTTTTGCTCGTTCACAGTGAAAAGAATGCGTCAAGTCTAGGTTTTGTTTAGATGTTTGTGGTGTGTGTATGTTAGACTTCAAAGAGTTGTTCACCTGAGTCGCTGACTTGGCCTCGAGTCAGACTCAAATAGCAATTGATGTGATTTGACCTGACTCGGGAAAGAGTTAACTTGTAGAAAATGACTTGTGACTTGACTTGTAAATGAAAAATGACTTGGTTGCAACATTGGTACTTTCACTGGACACTTTGCTGTGCTATCATGCCTGTAAATGGTCAACAAATAGTGTGGACCTTTGTATTAGGATATTTGTCAACTATTCGTCTGTCATCCTATTTCCATCCCCCGTCATCATACCATCCCTGACCTTTGGCCGTCCAGTGGTCCCCTGCATCCACAAAGTCCACAATGCCACACAGGCTGAGCTTGTACTGTTGCTGGAGTCGCAGCAGGAGGTGGTGGTAGAACCCGGTGGCTGCCAGCAGGTGTGTGTGGTAGGCACACTCCAGGGAAGAGCCAGGCCGCACATGCTGAAGGAGGAAGGGGGATGGTGGGGGATGGACACCAGGGTCAAATCTTATTGAGCGAATTTATGTGCTAAGCAAATATACCCAGAGAAGCAGTCACAAGAAACATACAACCCTCGGCATCTGGCCTGGTAACCGGTTTCTCCTTAACAAATAATTGCTTAGCAAATTTTGATGCTCTGTAGCTCTACGAAACTTGCTCAATGGTGCTCGTCCATGAGCTTGGGTGACTCAGAATGCCTCCCATCTTCCCAGGAGACCAAAATCAATTTTTGTTTTCTTCTTTTTCCCTAGAACCTCCTGACACAAGCAACGCTGTCAATTTGGGCAGTTTTGAGATCCTGTTTCTTGTCAGGAACCTAATTTCATGAAGCGCTTGGTAGACAAATACTGGTTGACAGACATGTTTAAGCTGGAATCGGATGGGTACCAGCCACAAGTAATATGCTGTGATAGAGTTTATGATTAGTTACCTACTTTTGTTAATCTCCTTTTTTTCCCCTTAGCAATCTGTGGCACTTAACAGCTAAGTAGAATTGGATTTGCAACAATAAGCATTTCCAAACTGCCCCACTGTCGCAGACATTACAGCCATACACGAATTTCATTCCATTTTTCATTTCAGAGTTAAGAGTGCTCACCGGTCCAAAAAGTAGACGTGATATACTGAAATAGCAGGGATCCCAGGAAAGGGTGTTTTCTCAAACCTCATGTACATTATACATCTAACATAATGGTATTTCTTCCATTAAAACCAATGCCAATGCAAACTGTACCTGGCTCTCTAACGGACCACACCTCCGATATGCCAAATCTACAATATGAGACAGAAAGGTCACCTTCTTATTTTTTCTGACCACGCTGATGACATCATAGTAGACTTTTCTCCACAGCAGCTCCTCTGCCTTGCGCCCATAGTCCACTGGCTGAAGGAACATCAACCGCTCACACAGGTCTTTCAGTCTGTTAACAAAGTTTTATAATTCCAATATTTTCAAACTTTACAGTTTTGAAGAGTTTGGCTGATTCAGATGGACAAAAATTGACTTGCAAGAACATCTTTGACTGACCGAGGCCGTTGTACACAGCACAATGGAAAGTGACTATGAGAATTGAGCACAGTAGAGTCCCCTCATGTGGTGTACTTTGATTATCACTTGACTTTCCTCATAGAGTGCTTCCATCTCTTGTTGAAAAAATACTTGAAATTCATTTTGTTAAATACTGGTATTATAACATTTGTAACACATTTTGTTGAACCTCTGTGAACAATTTCAGTATAATACAATTTCATTCAAAATTCAAAAACGGCAGCGTTGGAGATTTGGCAAGAATTCAGCTGAGTGTTCCCTTACGTGGTGCACTTGAAAAAATCTCAAAATATCCCGACTAAACATTTCAGAAGTTCTTTAAAGTTGATGAATTCTACCTAACCACAAATTTGTTAGTTAGAAAGTTATTTTCCTATTTTTTGCATATTTATAATTGTTATTTTGTAGCGGGTGAGCAAAATCAAGATTTTTTAATCAGAATTTCAGGAGTTTGATGAAATTTCACGGAAATATTGCTCTGGCAAAGTACAACAGGCAAAAAAACTAAGTGAGCCCTGTTTGGGGTCACAGCACATTAGGGTCCATCAACAATAAAGACTGATGTGGGTTTTTGCGCGGCCAACTTGTGCACATACACACCTAGATGTCATGGATGTTGCACATGCTGAAACAGAGTAGAATTGATTCCAAATGTAAAAGAGTAACTTTCAAGAGAAAGGCCTTTTTAAGATTCTTGCAAAATGAAAATCCATAGCAGTCCTTCAACATTTTTCATCAAAGATTGTCCATTTTCATCTGGATGGCAAACTGGGTGATGTATCAAAGCAAGGAACTCGGTTTACTCATTCTCAGGTAAACCAAACGGAATTACTGAAAATATGGCCTAAAGACTCATTTTGTGGGATCCGGTGAGAAATTTGAAATCCGAGCTATGATTCTGCTATTTTGAGACATCGACTCTCTGCAGCGACCCATTCCAGGTTGACCAGGATTGAATGCTAGACACTAAAAAACAAGGTTTGAGTGGGGAAATGCGAGGCATTTGGTTGAGTGGGTGAGCAATGCGCTGGTTCTCCACGATCTCGCAAGGAGAGAACAGCTCAAATTGCAAGGATGAGGCCAGTGGGCTACTTACTTCATCCGCAGCTCTACCGCATCCCATTCAAAGACGCTGCGATACGGCTGCTTGTGTCTCAGGACGCCATCCAGCTTACTGATGATATCTTGAGCACCTCTGAAAAGACAAATGTAAATGTTAAGCTCAGAACCTTTTCAGAAATTTGATTTGAAGCAAATGAAATCAATGGACTGGAGACTGTACCCAGTGTTTACGAGATGAACCATTCACGACTGCAGATAAACTACCTGAGTATGATCGGAGATCTTGCTGCACTGTTTGGTCCCTGTTCAATAACCTTGAGTCTTCAAACCGGTTTAAAGTTAACAGGTAAAGTAATTAATATGATTTCAGATTAAGTTAAGCACATCAGATTCTTTTTAAAAACGCTGCTGTTATTTAGGAACAAATACTCAGCCTAAGTGCACGAATTATGGTAGGCTTACTCAACTTGTGGATATACAGGTAGTTTAGGGCCCACCTGTATCGTCTGGCACCCTAAATCTACACTGCCCTATTTCTATGCACTCACCTTTCAGTGAACAATTTGCAGACGCGCATGCTATCTAACAGCCAGCGATCACTTGTATCATTTGTCTGTGTTTAAAAGTTTTGCAAAATACCCCAAAATGTTGGAAATTAATCCTGTAATCTTAGTGCATGTGTAAAAGAAATAAACGTCCCTTTTGGGGGGGAATTTTCTAAGACACAAATACTAGAATTTGTGTCGTGAGTTCTCCTCCCTATTCAAAAAAATTCAGAAGTCCTCGTGTCATCTAACAGTTTGCCCTCAATTGTCTAATATGTACTTCAGGGGTGAGATTGACCAACGATAAAAATAGCTGAAAACAGCTGAAAAAATACATCAAGAAGCTGAACTGTAAAAATCTCCTATCCTTTCTACACAGCCAGTGAGGGAAAAAAAGCTGAAATCCCCCCAAAAAGCTGAATTCAGCTAAAAAGCTGAGAAATCTCACCCCTGGTACTTTTAACGTGTCGAGTGATATCATTCAAATTTGACTCAGTGAAGTGCTTCAGGGAGCAATTGGACCCTTTGCTAATGTTTGAAGTTTTAAAATGTTAATGTTTTATTTATTTTGTCAAGTAAGTGAATACATGTATGAATAAAAATTTGTGGTGGATCCCTTTTTAGTGTTTGTCTCTCATTTTTCTTACACTGGGTTGCCCATATTCGTGAATAAAGGTAATCAGTGGTGGGATGGGATATGCGCCAACCTGATTAACATGGAAAGGGTACAGACATAAACCCAAGGTTGTGGGGGGGAGGGGATAGACGGGGATGTTCACTAACTTGTAGTTAGTAACTATTGTTTCATATTGTACTCTTTTTCATGAGGGGGCGAGTAGTGTACTCCCTAAGAGGTGGAGGAACTGAGTACCTTTTAGTCCTTTTGTCTTAGTAAATGTAACAATACCTATTTCCGTTGAAAAACACAGTAAAAAATCAGCACTTTGTGATAACCATGGACTTATGACACTATGGACAAAATCACATTTTAGTCCTTTTCAGCCTGCGTACGGCGACACCTATAAGGCTACGTGTAAGGACACCATGTTGACTGGCTGCTGTGCACACATGCCTGGCAGTGGCCATTCAGAAAATCACTGTGCACTGCATTGCTCGGTGGTCAAATGCACTCACCTGCTCACATTCACGATCTAAACCTCAATCTTTCTAGGGTGTTACAGACTCAAATTTTCCAAAAATGATACCTTGTTTCTTGTAGATACGTGTACCAGAAAGCTTCTAAAACACCACTTGAAAAATGTCCATGTTTAGCGGATCAAAACTTGCAGAAAACGTCATGTTTTTGGCAGAACTTTTGATGAGGCAACTCAACTGCTATCCATTTGTGCACAAATTGATGACAATAGTATGGTCCCCGCAGACTAGAAACCAATTTTACTGCATTTTGTCGTCAGGGAGTCTGGTGACCACGTTTTTGTACTCAGAAACGATCTATGCCTACAACGTGTCCACAGTGACAGTAGCCCATTTCGGTATATAACCTGTTTCGCTTCAGGTCCTTCTTGTTGATTCAGGATTTTCTGAATAATTTATCATGGTTATCACAGAGCGCCAAGAAAAGCCATACACAAACAAACATGAACAAATCGGTTTCAGTAAGTGGCATTTGTTGAATGATTTCACTCATGTCGTTCTGGTATTTTCCAGTCTTTTTGCCTTCACCCATTTAATCTCACAGGCTCGCCCTTGCAGTCGCCATCTTTAAAATAAGGTCGTTGAACATTACGTCACTTGACCCCTCATCGTCTTGACGATATCTAATACATGTTTAGGGGTCAAGTGACATAATGTTAGAAAGCGGAGAGGCTAAAGATCATTTCTGTGTGCAAAAAAGATTCCACCTACGGTTATAAGAGGGTGTGCCAAGCTTTTTCACGACACCGACACCCAATTTCGTATACAGATGTGTGGCTAAGGATGGAGCGGGAGTGAGAGTCCGTGCCACACTAGTGGGGCTAGTACTAGTACTAGTGTAGTAGTGTCCACATCCACTACGAATTACTCTGTTTGGTTGGGCAAGGCATGCAAAGTGTAATTTACTGTAAAAGATAAAACAAGAGAAATATATAACTTATACGCCAATACATATATCGACACCCCGGCCCTGTTGACCATGAGGCCGACAACATTTTCCGATAAACACTGATCAACCATGGAGGAAAAAAACACCATGGATCAACTGATCAAGCCTTCAAGTTCAAGTTCAAAGGCCGGCCTTATTAATATTTGCTTACCTATATATTCGTTTTGTTTGTTGTAACTTTTCAACTTCGGGCTTAACTGCAATCTTCAATTCCTCCTGCTCCATTATTAGCTTGGAACTCCTGAATTTCACGCGGACAGGTCTTACTCTAAGATCAACTGATAATGTTAACTGTTCTCATTACATGTACATTTACTATGATGTAAGCGGCCATTTTGTTTCTCCTTGCTGTACACTTTGGGAAACAATATGTTACGTTTATGCTGATTGGTCATGCTAGAAGCATACTAACAAAATCAGCCAATAAAATGTCAATTCTGAAAATCATTGACCTCTTATGTGATTTTGTCAAGAGAGGGCAGCAGATAACATTTACGAAGGGCCGGGCTATTGAAAACGCGCCCTGCCCACTCACTTGTGCGTTAGGTATACATGTAATTAGCACGTGCTTTACGCATATGACGTGAACACGTGTCAAACTTTTGACGGCAAGTGTTTCGCTGTCGGACAATCACGACTTTGATTGCCCAGAAAGCAGTATGGCGGTGCCATGGTGCGGTCTGTGAAAGATTTCTTCCGCAGGTGGGCAGTGTTTTAATTTTTATTTTCTGGTGATTATTATTTTATGCCCCCGCAAGTCTAATTATATGATATGCATTTTTTTAAACATCTGGTGTTGTGATTCCTCCATGGTTTGGAACACAGGCGTTTTTCACAAGCCAGCGTTCTTTATCCGTAATTTTACTAGTACGCTGCAGTGGCGCAACTATGTCCCGTGGGCCTGAGGGTGCTCACATTTTTTGAGGGGACACAATGAGCTGCAGCCCCAAATAAACTCTGCGTAGATTTCAGATGGGGGTAGGGCACCTGGGGGTCACAGGCATCTTGGGGGGATGGCCCCCTGCAACGCTCTCAGATGGAAGTTTCCTAAACCCAGGGAGTCGATCCGGGCCTAGGCGTACATGTATATTTCCAAAATCCCCCTTGTTCTTTTGGTCGAACAGCTAGTCTTGAAAAGAGACTTTGAAGAGCCGGGGGCATACCAGCGCTCGCAGTTGCATAACAAGGGCTAAATTTATGTCCAGGGATGGAAACATTTTTCTCAAGGAGGCACAGAAAGAAAATAAGTTACGCTGCATAGCTGTTTATGAGCTCGGCAGATATTTCAAATGGGGGCTGGTGGATACCCAGCGTGGGGGTACAGGCATCTGTTGCGGTTAGTTATGCCACTGAACGCTTGATATAGCAGAAAATATCAAGTTCAATTAGTAGACCATGTGCAGCCCAGAGAAAAATGTATGGACAAACAATTAAAATATTTAGGAAAGACCCGCAAATTTAGCAGATAAATTTTAATTTTATTGTTCATATCACTAGCGAGTTCAAGAGATTAAAAGCAAGGTTAACACAATCATTCTGCGATATTAACAGTTTTGTACATCACATCTACTGTAACCAAAATTTGGTAATTTTATTCATTTTAAACATACCTCGAGTAAAAAAGACCCCATCTTTAGTAAAACACTCAAAGTTAGAAATTCTAAACGTGTATAATTCCAGAAAAAAATGTAATCTAACCTCAAAGAGATTTTGAATGTTCAAGGTTGTTATACAAATAGAATGATGACCATTTTGACAATTTGTACAGAGCTGACGTCAAGGTATTTGAAATTGCTTTTTTCTAGGCCAGTCAGGTTTAAAAAAATATAAGAATGCCCATAAACCTGAAGCACTTTTCATACGTAACTATGGTTGTCCGTAAGGCTTTCAAAAGACATAAATGCGATGTTCAAAAAAGGTCAATCCTGTTGCATCTGAAGATTGCCACAAAAAATTCTACTTGTCAGCTTTTAACTTAAAGAGCTAATGACGAATGTTCAGTGATACCCTGAAATTGCAATAGGCCTACTTACAACATATCTCCTGTAAATTGCTTGCAGTGAAATATGGAAAGCAAAAATAACCCATTGAAAATTGTATTGCCCAATTCATAATAATCATGCAGTGGTAGAAAAGTGGTAACAAAAATTCAAATATTTAAATGGGTTACAACTAATCTACTACAAATAATTGGCATCTCTACACAATCTGAAAATAATACACACTATCTCCTTCTATAGTTCATGACAAGTGAAAATTAACAGACTACCGTATTTTGTCTCAGACTTGCACAGATATTAAATAAAGCATGCATAACCTATCTTCATGGATGCTGCCAGCCGCAAAACGATCCAGTCAGGCAAGCAGTCACACATCCAGTCAGTACCCTCGTGGAAGCATAAAATGTAGAAGTCAAGAGTTATGAAAGTCAAAAGCAATATATTCATAATAAACAAACAAGTACATATGCCAACGAGTCACATAACACAGAAATTTTGAAACAGGACATGTGCAAACGTGATCTCGCAATGGCAGGGCCGATCAACTCCTGAGGGTAGCAAGAACTACCCCTGCTACCCAACAAACAAGGAAGCACACTTAACTGCCAAAACGGGGCAGCAGTTGCGTATCTGGTCAGGCAAGCAGTCACACATCGAGTCAGTACCTATGTGGAAACACAAAATGCAGAAGATAATTAGCGATAGGTTAAAACCAAGAAATTCATGATAAACAAATAAACAACATAAACCAACGAGTAACAGGACACAGACAGTGTGCAACAGAACATGTGCAAACATAATCTCGCAAGGAGGGCCGATCAACTCCCGGGGAAGTAAGAACTACCCCATGCTACCCAACAAACAAGGAAGCACACGGAACTGGCAAAATGGGGCAGCAGTTGCCTATCCAGTGAGGCAAGCAGTCACACATCGAGTCGATCAGTACCTATGTAGAAACACAAAATGCAGAAGATAAGAGTTAGCTACAGCTCGAAAGCTACAAATTTGTGAGAAACAAAACAAGTACATTCACCAGTGAATCACATTACACAGAGAGTGTGAAACAGGACATGTGCAAACGTGATCTTGCAAGGGCAGGACCCATCACCTCCTGATGAGGGTAGCAAGAACTACCCTGCTATCCAAAGAGTAAGGAACGACACTTAACTTGGAAATCGGACCAGCAGTCGCACATCCAGTCAGCCAAGTCGTCACCAATCTAGCCAGTAGCTACGTGGAAGCACAAAAGGTAAAAGATAAGAGTGACAGGTCAAAACCAACAAATTTATTTATTTATACAACATAAACCAACGAATCGCATAACACAGACAGTGTGCAACAGAACATATCATGTGCAAACGCGATCTCGCAATGGCAGGGCCGATCAACTCCTGAGAGTAGCAAGAACTACCCCTGCTGCCCAACAAACAAGGAAGCACACTAAACTGCCAAAATGGGGCAGCAGTTGCATATCCAGTCAGGCAAGCAGTCACACATCCAGTCATTACCTTTGTGGAAACACAAAATGCTGAAGATAAGAGTTAGCGATAGGTTAAAACCAAGAAATTCATGATAAACAAATCAACAACATAAACCAACGAGTAACATAAACAGAGTTTGCAACAAGACAAAGTGCAAACATGATCTCCCTAGGGCAGGGTTCATCGACTCCTGAGGGTAGCAAGAACTACACCAGCTACCCAACAAACAAGGCAGCACACTTAACTGGCAAAATGGGGCAGCAGTTGCATATCCAGTAAGCCAAGGAGTCACACATCCAGTCAGTTTCTATGTGGAAACACAAAATGTAGAGGTCAAGATTAAGCGACAGCTCAAAAGCTACAAATTCATGATAAACGAAACAAGGACATACACCAAAGAGTCACATAACACAGACAGTGTGGAACAGGACATGTGCAAATGTGATCTCACCTGAAGGTAGCAAGAACTACCCCTCTTACCCAAAGAGTAAGGAAGGGCACTTAACTTGGAAATCGGACAGGCGGTCGCACATACAGTCGGCCAAGTAGTCATCAATCCAGTCAGTACCTAGGTGGAAGCACAAACTGTAGAAGATAAGAGTTAGTGACAGGTCAAAAGCAACAAATTCATGATAAACAAGGCAAGGACAAACAACAACGAGTCACATAACACAGACAGTGTGCAACAAGAACATGTGCAAATGCCATCTCGCAAATGCAGGGCCGATCAACTCCTGAGGGTAGCAAGAACTACCCCTGCTACCCAACAAACAAGGAAGGACATTTAATTTGGAAATCGGGCCGGCAGTCGCACATGCGGTTAGCCAAGCAGTTACACATCCAGTCAGTGTCTACGTTGAAACACAAAATGTGGAGGTCAAGAAATAGTGAGAAGTCAAACGCAACAAATTCGTAATAAACAAGCACATACACCAACAAGTCAAATAACACAGACACTGTGCAAGAAGACATGTGCAAATGTTATCTCGCAAGGGCAGGGCTGATCAACTCCTGAGGGTAAGCAAGAACTACCCCTGCTACCCAAAGAGCAAGGAAGGACACTTAACTTGGAAATCGGGCTGGAAAACGCAAATCCAGTCAAGCAAGCAGTCACGCATCTAGTTAGTTCCCATGTGGAAGCACATATAAGATAAGAGGTAGTGACACGTCAAAAGTTGAATTCCTAGGAAAAGGAGACAAACGAGCACATACGCAAGAGTGTGCAACAGGACATGTGCAAATGTGACCTCACAACGGCAGGGCGATCACCTTCTGAGGGTAGCAAGAGCTATCCCTGCCACCCGAAGAACAAAAAGAGAAATTTCCAAAGCACTTACTTAGAAATCACATAGCTTTTTTTCCATTCAAGTCTCATGCTTGTGCACAGGGGCATCAAGTGTTGTCCGTATATGGAACTCTCTCTGCGGCGATTTTCTAATCGCAACACTATTCCGCCTTCTTAGTAAAGTTAGTAAACTGCCTTGAATTTCAATTTGATCACCAAAATTATCTGAAGTTCTGAAGATTTCTTTTCAGTGCTTCATGTTTCCATCATCACGAGCATCGATTTAATAACTTCATTATCCGCACCCAAGTACAGGGAATCAAGCCATGGTGTGGCTAGGTCGCCTTATAACTGGTGGCGGAGGATAAGGTGAAAGGGGGCCCTATTTATCTTGGCATAAAAATGGGCAGGTTATTTGCCATTGGTCATGTAAATTCTGTAAAAAACGATCGGGGGTTGGAGGTGGGATGACCTCAAATTTTAGTGGCATTGCTGTTGAAAGCAGATAAAAGCATTGGAAACAGTCAGAACTTTTTCAACCACTGCTCAAGTATAGGGGTGTTGGATGCAACAAAGAATTGGTTACATTAAGATAATTCATGTTCAATCAGGTGATCTAAAAATGATGATGCACCCGCTGAGAATGTGTTGCAGCTTTTAGGGACCCGGCAGTGTGAAGTCAGACACTTGCCGCCATTATATCGATGACTGATGAACCATTTTAGGATGTACCTATTGCACCCGCTACCTTCTTAATATATTATTCTCGCTTGATATACCATACTAATTTCATAAGCAGGCTACTTCCCACATAGGCCTACTGAAATTGGCGGAAATAAGACGGAGGCACACTTTTGTTCCAACTCCAGGACAAACAGGTGACCAGCGATTTTTTGTGCACTTGACTTGGTACATCCTAAAATGCTTTATCAGTCATCGATATAACGGCGGCAAGTGTCTGACTTCACACTGCCGGGTCCCTAAAAGCTGCAACACATTCTCAGAGTGACATGCCAGCCGCTGTTCGCTGTAACATGTTGAGGGAAAGGATATGTTTTAGCTGTTTATTTTTAAACAGCTCACCCACGTTTAGTCTCCATCAACTCACATATCCACGAACCTCGAACACCACGACCTGCAGCACGTAGGTTGAAGATCATTATGACGCTGAGCCAGGCTATGCACATATTGCACAAAGCAGGTTTGGTCTGACTGTGCTCGATCACCTGTTCGTGGCGTGTCAATGCAGACACTTCAAATTTCGCGCATTGTGCCGCTCGACGACCACGAGGTACCAATGAAAAGACAAGGTTGGGGAAGTTGGGAATAGCCAGGCAGAGTGAGAATACAAAGTAACGGCCTGAATGGAGATTTTGCATAACAACCTGCAGATCACGTCTGCCATTCTCCAGAGTTTAGGCGGGAACTGGAGACATGGTTATGCAAATTCTTTGCCAGATTGTTTTCCCAGCTTTAATCGCCCCGACAGAACAAGAGGGAAGCATTGTCAGGTGGATCTTTAAACGGGTGGATCTCTTCTGTAGCGTGGGAACTGCAAGGGCAGCGGGGGATGAGTTTCCCCCAGAAATGTTGCCAATGTCTATTATTATTCATTTTAGGAATTGAAAGCGCCAGCATCTTAGAAACAGTATTGCCACTTTTCTCGGTGGAAAGGGAAATAGTAATTTTAAACAGATTTTCTTTTCAAGCGCCGTCGTTTTTCAGACAAACTTTCCATCTCCCTTGGACCGAGGAGCTGGTACTTTGAGTGGGGGGGGGGTGGCTGTGCAAGACGTTTATGCGCCCGGCCGGACGTGGAAATGGTATCACATTACAAGGGACGATATGCAAATTTTGAAAATACTGTGACACGACAGAGGGCGCT